CATCCAGTGTCCTTGATACGTGAGCGAGAATAATCTTCGTGAGGAGCAAGCGCGCTCCAGCAGGCATATTGGACGATAGTGCGAAAACCTCTCTATCGCTCTACTTATGGAGAAGGATTGTTTGGGAGGTTCTCCACTGGTCGGGGATCCCTTTTGAAGGTAGGACGTTATATGTTCCGCAAGTATCTCGTGTAGGCGACGTTCTCCAGCTCGTAAGAGTTGGGCCGAAACATGGTCCGGTCGCCGTGGCTGCCTTCATGGTCTGGCTGCGGAGCGTACTTCAGCAGGTAGAGTCCGTGGTGGTATCTCTCCAGTGGGAATAAAGGGATTTGACACGGGTGTTGACGAGCGGAAGAGATTGGTGTAAAATCTCTTTATGGTCGATTCCATTTTTTTTCGGGAAGATGTGCGAGTCCCGTCTTCGTTTAGTAATGTTGGCGGAACACGATAGTCGAGAAGGTCGCTGTGGTACTTTCAGACTTCTCCTTCCTTGTGCTGCTTCCAAAAGTTTCAATATTTCGTACTTTCAAAGATCTTGCAAAGCTGTTCTGCAAATGGTATTGGCTATCAGTCACTCGAGATGTGATGCAGTGGATCCTACCGCAATGCTCTTCTCCTCTCTAACAAATCCTTGGTGGCTTTCGAAATTCGTTTTAAATTCCTTGTTCGAGGCATTGAGGCACTTTCACCACAGGCTCTCAGTCCTCTAAGAAGTAGGTCGTAGCCTATCGTCGGATCCTCCTCGATGGGCCAGTCACAAGTGGTCAGGAGCTCCTTCAATCTGACGCCCTCATATACGACTTCTCTCCTTCCTCCAACAAGGTGGCAGAGCTTATTTTCTAGCTTCGGCTGAATCGCACTTGCTCGAAGGAGGCGGTGATTTGAGCCATTACTGAATGATGGTACTGAGGCGTCCAGTACCCACCTTAGGTTTGTGAGAATGTGGTCGATCTCCGCATGAGTTGTACCGTTGGGTCACTTCCATATCCACCGCCGGTGCTCTTTCTTCATGAAGAGAGCTGCCATGAAAAAGTCGTGCGGCGGATAAGAGCCCAACAAGAGGTTACCACTCTCATCCCGGAGACCTGATCCAAAGCTCCCTATCCTCTGTTCCCATTCTTCTGGCATCCCGATTTGCGCAGTAAAGTCACCCTCGACGAACTTATGAAAGAACTTTTCTTTGTGGATGACTTCCTCCAAATCCTCATAAAAAGCATCAACTTCAGCTGCTGATCTTGGAGAATAGCAGTTGATGATAGTGATGATTTTTTGCAGAGAACGGAGTCGAAGGATAGCCAGGCGAGGTGATAGGATCTCATGCGAGACAAGATGAACAACAGATGGGTGTACGACGACTCCAACGCCTCCAAGGTTCCGGGATAACTTCTCATCACGAATGATGAGTGTACCATCACGCTGCCTCACGTCCGTCTTCCTGGACTTTGTTGCCTGCAAGGCGATTACGTGGAAGTTGATGCGCCCTGCAGCTTTGAGAAGGGCGTGAAGGTCGGCGTTGGTGGAGACTGTCCTGGCGCTTTAGGACACGTCAACGACTCACCATGGAGACTATCTCATGTTCTGCACGTAGCAGAACATGATACAGTCTCCATGGCGAGTCGTTGACGTGTCCTTTTGGTCCGAAATCCATGGCGTTCTGTGCAATCTGACACTAGTCTTGATCATCCGACGCCGTAGATGTTATGATCCAATGTGCAGGGCTTTTTTTTCTCTTACATGCTGTACGGGCAATAAAGAACTTCCCCCCAAAAATTAGCAGTGCCTTGCCAGGACCTGCCAAGCTTTCACCACAGGCAATCGCTGACCTTATATGGATCAAGAAGCACCTAGCGACTGCATCAGTCAGACGATGGTGCTTCTGGCAGGCCTACTCTTAGCTGGGCATTCGGGAACCGGAAACGAACTTTTCAGCTTGGGAGACCCTGGAGGATAAACCTCCGCTGTACTTCACAGTTCCCAGAGTCACCTCTTCGCCACGATGAGGCGGTAGACCATTACGGGGGTGCTAATGTTGTAAAAAACAAGAAATTCAATTATTCATTATACGAACCACCGGTTTAGTATAACATTTCTCCACCAAATCGACGTTCTCAGCGGAAGTCCTAAGCTACGCTACTGAGAAGAGCACTATTTTTTTAAAACCAGAACGAATTTGGTTGGTCGAATAGTTGCATAGTACATTTATGACAAATGGACTTCATTTCAACAACTTTTCCATCAAATTGAGTGACAGCAAGATAGAGGACATTTAACAATAAGTACGTTATAAACAGATTTAACATGATGGACCTTTTACTGAATTCATGCTGAAAACGCTGGCCCTTCAAGGATGGTGAAAGTCCATCTTATCACCCCGCTTCCCGTGCCAGCTCATATGCCTATGAGATGTAAGCCGTTTGGACTGAGCCAAATAAGAATTGTGATGTTTCTTTTGAACTAGTGTGTTTTTCCCAATCTCTTCCTTGTTTTTCCACTTACTCTTCTACTTTAAGTGACACGAACAAAAGAATGAGATGAATGAAGTCCCTATCTAAACGTCAATCATTCATTTGAAGCGTTTCCCAAAATCATACAGCAGCTCAATAAATGTTTGAGATGACTAGCACTAGCCGCGTCCCAAGCATGCATGACTGTACAATTTAATTGCATTTACTTAGATATACGTGCACATGGAGGATAAACTCCGCTGTACTTCACAAGTTTAAACTCTGTGTCGCCTCCGTGCCACGATGAGGCGGTCATCGCGGGGGACCTGTACATAACAAGAAGGAAAAGTTCTCCTTTTTCTCCATGTCCTTTCATGAAAATGCTATGATTACCTCCTGGCACTGCCGTAACAGGGGACATACGCTATTCACAACTGGAAAAATGGTGCCTCACTGCGGCAGGAACACCCTCACCATGATAGAGTTCTACTGGCAAAAAAGGTTCGCCCACATTATTCGCAAGTGACCCATCAGAAAATGTAGGAGCTAGAAATTTAGTGGCTGCCTCATCCAGAGTACAGCCCCAACGTATCTCCCTGCAATTATCACGTTTTCACTCTTTGGCACAATTTTGTAAGTTAGAAAAACTTACAAGCCATCAAGACATTAGAAAGATGGGCGATGCACTCGTGACTTCGCGCACGCCTTCCTTCTGGATGAAAGGTGTACATCCGCTGCCCAGTAGATGGCAGAAGGTCATTGATAGTAATCGATACATCATTGATTGATATCACTGCTTGTTACTATTATAATAAAAATATAAACAGTAAAATCTAATCCTAAACTTATTGACACCCTAATACATTTAAAGTTCCAATGAATTCCCTTTCAGTTTAACTCGATCTGCTCTTTGTTAATGTACTATTTAGTATAATGCCGTACTTGCAGTTCTAACGGTGTACATTTAGGTCGTGGCCATGCAACAAAAGTCGGGAGGTCTTTGGTGATGGCGAAAATATGCACAATTACGCATTTAATTCCAAAAGTTATGAGATGCAACACTTGATCTGTCTTCGCAAAACAAAGATCTATCTGCGTTATTTCGCAGACTTCACTGATTGAAATTCTTGGACATCAAACTAACGTAAAAGATTGTGATTGTTGATGCGCTGATTACAAACTTTGTATATTTACAGCTAAGTCACAAGTAAATTGAGCAGGTGAGATGAAAATATGTATGTTGTGGATCGAAAATCCTCTTAGTCAATTCTTTTTAGAGGTTAAGCTCTATTACCATTTTGATTGGTGTGGCATAGTCGAAGCGCAAAGGAGAACTTTTGCTGCAAAAGCTCGATACAATACACGATTCGATATCCATATGGCAATTTATCAGTTTACCACCACCATGAAGAAAATTTCCCACAAGTACGTGCTAATTTTTGCAGTGAACAACTTCACCCTCAACACAATAAGGTAATATAGGTATGGATGTAGTGATGAAATGCGGCTCTGTTTGAAGAGGTCAAGGTGTAGAATAAATATGATGTATGGTCAAAATTAAATCCCGTTGCTATCTCAGGGAAATTTGTGAATATGCACCTAATGTACCACTATGGTAAAAGGATATCGTTTAATGGGAATATCGAATTGCTTGTCGATTTCAACATGCTTGAAAACATTTATGAAAATTTTACTGAACAAATCCACACAGATAAAGAAGCTAATGTAACATAGGGTAAGAAAAGCTTGCATTCTTCAATTCTCCTACTTACCATAAAAAGTCTGAGAGTGTCACTATTCATAACAAGGTAATGTCTATCCATCAGGTGAAGAGGTTAATATTGGCAAGTTATTTGGCAAAACGATGCCGTAGTCCACTACTGCTTTCAAAGACGGCAGGAACAGGGACAGAACGGAGTAAGCTTAGCCTTTTAAAATCAAGAGGCGTACCACATGTTGCTCTATAAATGGATCTTGAATCTGTTGGTATATATGTATATATAATCTGTTGGTATATAAGCAGTTCTCAGAAGATTATGAATTGTTATTGAATATTTGTTCAGCAAGAAGAATAGGTTGCATTATTGCCTATTGCAGTAATTTTTAATCTCTTTAAACAAGCTATGTAAAAGCTTAATTATAGACTAGAATAGCCTATTGCCTCAAATTAACTTCCTTTTGTTCCTTAAGTCAGAATGTCCAGAAACAGGACAACAAAAGTGACGATTACTCTAACTCAGGCGTCTCGCAAAAAGTAATGGTACAGCAATCAATGAAATCATTTAGTAGGGATACTACAAAAGTTTTCTGTAAACATTCTTCATTCATTTCGTTTTTTTTGTTTTACTTCCTTTTTGTGCATGTTACTTTAATAGAGAAGTTTTAGACATTTTGCTACTTAAAAGTGAATTTGTTAGCTGATAAAACGTAAAGTGTTGGAGGCCATTAATTCTCCGAATTTTGGGAGATGCGAAGTTGTCAGCGTGCTTCCGGAAAGCATTTCAAATAGAACGGAACTAGGAACAGGGAATTATACGAGGATCCGGAAGGACAACCAATTTTGAAATAGATACGGTTTTTTTTGTGCGTCCTTTGAAATATTTCGCTAGATATTCAAATAGATCGCAATGCAGCAGTCAGCTTTTTTGTGGGTAAGATTTTCTATTGGCGAATAAATAAAAGATCCAAATTGATCTATAATTTGAGAACAAAAAGCATGGTTTTCCACATTTGCACTCAGGGCAAAAAATTCAAACGTACGTTAAACCCTCACAGTGATACAATTTGCCTACATTAATTTGCAAATAACGGAGAAAAGGGCATCAGAGCCAAAGCAGCATAGAAGACGCTTGTTTGCGTAGAGTGT